ATTTTGTGAAGAAATGTCTGGTGAAGAACCCAGAGCAGAGAGCAATGGCCACTCAACTGCTCCAGGTATAGGAAGAGCCAAAAATATTGCTAACTACTAGTTCCTGTGTATGATTCATACAGCTATTTATTCATTCCCTGCCTTATTTTGGGGATTTATTTTTTTGTTTTCCATCCAAGTCGTGATCATAAACATCTGGTATGCTTTTCGTTGTCTATCCGGCAGCATCGATTTATAACCAATGCTAAGCCGGTGACCATCCTCCGGGACCTGATCACAGAGGCCATGGAGATGAAGGCCAAGAGACAACAGGAGCAGCAGAGAGAGCTGGAGGAGGATGACGAGAACTCGGTGAGATAATATTCACTATTAGTTCTTCAGTTTACGTCAGCGTTTTTGTTTTAGCTGATGTCGGATGTGACTGCATTGTGCAGGATGAGGAAGTGGAAGTGGATTCCCACACCATGGTGAAGTCTGGTTCAGAGAGCGCTGGAACCATGCGAGCCACAGGCACCATGAGCGACCATGGCAGTACCATGCTGGAGTCTGACCTGGGCACCATGGTCATTAACAGCGATGATGATGAGGAGGAGGAGGAGGTCGATCTCGGCTCGATGAGGAGTGAGTGTTTATGTCTTTTTCTTTACGTTAACACTTTTGTGCTGCTTTGAGAGATGTTTAATCTGATGTTTTTTTCCTTTAAACAGGAAATCCTACATCTCAGCAAATTCAGCGTCCGTCCTTCATGGACTACTTCGACAAACAAGACTCAAATAAAGCACAAGAGGGTTACAATCACAACCAGCAGGACCCGTGTTTAATTTCCAAGACCGCTTTCCCTGATAATTGGAAAGTGCCACAAGATGGAGATTTCGATTTTGTAAGTGCTCTGATGATGCTCTTATGATCGGTTGTTTATGCATAAAGCTGAATCAAATGAGTCACTGTGTGTTTCTGTCTGTGAAGCTGAAAAACCTTGATTTTGAGGAGCTCCAGATGCGCCTTTCTGCTCTGGACCCCATG